GCCATGGGGATGTAAAGTACAGTGCAGGAAATGGGGTAGCCAAAGAACCTATACACATGAGCCATGGATATGAACAATGGTGTAGGGATTGCCTGAGGGACTGGAGGGTTCTAGGTCGAGGGGTCCAAGGGAGAAAAATTGGGACAACTGTAATAGCATAATCAATAAAATGTAATTAAAATTTTTAATTTTTAAAAAGAAAAGAGACATCTAAGGTATAAAAAGAAATACAAGAACACCATATTTAGGGTACCTGTGTTCTAAGAATTCAATAGGAAATTTCCCTGGGGTTCTCATTCTTTTAACTTAGTCCGTCACTAAAGGACACTCGTTACGCTGCTCATGAAATAACCCCAGAAGTGGAAGTAGCAAGTTATTTCAGTGTGGGAACCTGAATTTGGAGAATTAAGTAGTCAACCATCAGGAAGACTTCAAGTGAAATGAATGGCAGGAATGACTTTCTATATATCATTATGGAAAGTTTGTACAAGAAAAGTATTGAAAAACCTTCCATACCCAGCAAAGGTTGGAGGACTCTCACATGCTCTTATGGAAATACCTTTAGCTTCGCTAAAGCACCACACCTTGAGTAGTCTGGTAAGTTGGGTGGGACTGAATCTCTGGGGATCTTCAAGGTGGGAAAAAACAGTGTTAGCCAGGTTGATGGAGTCTCAGATATGGCACCAGCCTTCTGGATTTGTGGCTCTGTGGCTCTGTGGGGAAAAGGGACAATGGCCTCTGCCCACCTTTGTCCAGGAGAAAGCTGTCCTCCAGCTCTTGCCTTGATGCCAGACACTTCAGTTTCTCCCTGTATGGTATTGAATGCCTTCGCTAAAAGACCAAAGTTTTTTATTAAAACTACTGAGGAAATGCCTACATATAATAGTCCACACCCAAAACTCTGGAAGGGGTAGGTATATAACCATATTACAAGCCTAATATGCAATATTAGAAGTTTATATTTTCTCAGTGAATCGGTGGCTGGTGCTCTGGTTTTTGCCAAAGCCTGAACAAAAGACATGTATAGACACACCACACTTCTTGCAATGCCCCTAGTCATTGAGAAATGACAGGGAAATACCTAAGGTTACTGAGTGAAAGACATATACTACTTCCTTACCACACCCCCAGAAAATGTTTCCTGCTATACTCTGAATTTCTGTGGCTACTGTGCCCAAAGAAATTTGCAAGCAAGATGGCAAAATAAGTACAATAAAAACGTATTCTCCTTTCTACTTAAATGAATCCCGGAACTACACACTGGTACAATATAGGTCACTTAACTGGTCTGGGCAGTGGCTTTACTTTGGCTTCAGTCAAACCCCGGAATTTACTTTGCATAGGGTTGCATCCCAGGTCCTCCCTAAGATTCCCCAGTGCAGAGATAGCTGCTTGAATGAGCTCTGGAAAATTGGTTTGCTGCTATTAACATACAGAGTTAACTCAATTTTCCACTTCCAGATTACCACCCTGAGGTTGTTTATAAACATAACTGTCTCATCATATAGCCATTTTTGTCTAACCACAGAAGTTGAATTAATTTTTTCTAAATCAATATATTTATCCCCCTATTGTAATGAGAGCCAAACCTCTTTATTTGCTCAATACCTATGAGACTAAATTATTACTCTGCAGCCAGCATTCTAGAGTGAAGGAAAGACATGGTGTTAACGACTCCTTTAAATGAGATACCTGAAAGAATCAGAAAAGCCTGTTTCCTTTATTTTTTACTAATTCAAAATTGGCTTTTGATTACAATCAGTTTATAGGCCTTCCCAACAATATCACTGATGCTTCCCAACCAGATAAGGAAATGAGAAAACAATGGTCAAGTCTCTAGAATGGTGAGTCTGAATTCACCACAGTTTCCCCTTGGGAATCCTTCTTCAGACTTTCTCTCCTGCCTCCTAAAACTCTACTTTTACAAGATTCTTTGAACCCAGGCCCTTCTAAGACAGAGAAAGTCTCCAGGTGCCTTATTTATCATTCACTCTTGTTAATGCTCCTTCTACAAGTAAAGACAGTGGAAAGTGAGTGACTGAGGTAACTGTCGATTTGGGCACAGTACAGAACTCAACCTCTAGGTTACAAATGAAAACACTGAAAAACATTGGTCTGTTCTCTTTAACTCTCAAATGGCCACCTCAGGAAAAAAAAAAAAACAACTGCAAATTAAAGTTGATTTTGCTACTGCTCTGTAAGAGACTGAGTTAACAGCAGTTTTTAATTGAATACCAAATGTGAGTCGATTTAAACCAAAGATATCAGACCAAGCCAAGTGCAAACTCCATCCTAGCCTGGATCAGTGACACCCACCACAACTCAAATGCGTGGGCAGAAAGAACAATTTAATTAATATTCTTCGATTAACTCTTGATTTATCTACCATCCCCTTCTCCAAAACCTTTCTCTCCACACCTCTTACACCTGAGAAAATAGTAACCCATTCACACAGCCATGTGCTCAATCCGAAAAGGTTATGCTCTGACCACCCAGATCCAGACAACGGCCAAGTCCTGTTAATTCTACCTCCAATACAGATTGGGGCAAAAGTAGGTTTACAGCTGTTTGTATGAAAAATAATACAGTAATTAATAATACAGAATAATAATGCAAGAATACAAGAATAAACCATTTCATGTACTAACTGTAAACTTACTTTTGTCCCATTCTGTATCTTTTCTTTTGAACTTTTTTTATTAATGATTTTAGAGAGATGAAGGGTGGGGGAGAGAGACATTGCTTGGTTGTTCCAGTTATTTATGCACTCATTGGTTTTCCTTGTATGTGCCCTGACAGGAGATGCAACCTTGGTGCACTCTGTGCATCGGGACGATGCTCTAACCAAATGAGCTACCCAGCCAGAGCTCCACCCTATATATCTTGAATTCACCTACTTCTTTCCCCCATGACCATCACCCTAATCCAATTCATCTGTATCTCCTGCCTGGATATCTGCAATAGCTTCCTAACTAGTCTGCTTACTTCTACCTTGAATTCTACCAAATTCTGCAGATATATATGTAATTTATCTCCCCTCAAAACGTAAGCTTCACAAAGACAAAGACCGTGTCTTTTATTTTTTTAACTGGTGCCTCACACAGTATCTGGTGCATAGAAGGCCTCAATAAAACTGGTGAGAATGAACAAATGGTTTGTAGAATTCCTGCATGACAGAAGTCACATCCATGACAATTATAGCTGTCTTCTCTCAAGTCTTTCTATCCTCTCAGAGCCATAGAAGCCACCTCCTCAACGAGAACTGAGCTTTTTTTTCTTTTCAGGCTGATTATTGTAAGGTGACCTTTTAGCAGTCTCTTAGGAAGAAATCAGAGTGAGTGCTTTCATAAAGCACGACTAGATGGAATGTATCCAAACTGAGCCTACCCTCCTCCTAATGCTTTGGAAAGAGATGAAGGAATTTTATGGAAACACACAGAGAAATAGAGCCTTTGAGACATTACTGCCATCTTGTGGCAATAATCCTAATCCGCAAGCAACCAAAACTCCCTGTATTGTCTCAATTTTTCTGAAATTTTACAATCTTAACCTTGATATATCTCATTTGATCCAGCATGCATTCCTTCTGGAAATGTATGTCCATCAGTTCTGGAAATTTTTCTTGAATTATTTATTTGAAATTTTCTCCATTTTTTCGTAATTCCTATAATTTGTATGGTAGACCTGAATTGATCTTTTAGTGTTCTTATCCTTTTTTTTTTTTTTTAATCTTCCTGGTTTTATTTTGCACCACTTTTTGAGAGGTGATTCTTTTGGCTCCACCACAACGTCACCAAAACAACCTACTGACAAAACATAGCTGAGTTTATTCTTACTGAAGTAAGGGAGAGCACTAACTTTGGATAGTCTCAGTAGCCTCTTAGAGGGTGAAGGGCAAAGTCTAAATATGTGTGGGGTTTTAAAGTCTAATCCAACGCTAGTGCTCAATCAGGAAAACACAAGGATAACCTTTGGTGCTTACTAAGGTCTCAATACACCTTTCTGAGTCTGTGTTTTTATTAATCTAAAAATACGGGTTCCTACAAGGTATCAAAAGCCCCATACCTGCTTTACCTGTCTATAAATCAACAGTACATGGACAGGTGGAGGTGAGATGGGAAGATGTACCACTTCTACAGAAAATCGTCTCATATGAAAGTCAATGAAAAAAAAAACTCATCAAAAAGGCGGCAGTAAATCAGTAGAAGCTGTCTTCAGGGAGTTTATGTCAGAGAATGTGTCCAAGGAGCCAGAGTATACTGTAAAGGCAGTAATTTAGAGGTTTAATCTGCTGACCTAGCTGTCTAGGTCCAGTCCTTTGAGAAGACTGGCAGTCTCACTCAGAGGGACCAAGTGAAATTCCTATTAGCAATCTCGTGTTAAAGAGCCAGACACAAACTCTACATGCATCAGGTTAATTTTGCATGCCAACTGGTGCAGAAAGATGGCTAATGTGGTGATCAGACGGGCCCAGGCGACAGCTGAATTCCTCTGACTCCTGAATTCCCCCCAGGCTCTGCTTTCCTGCCCCACTTGGGACGAATACCTAGGGCATCCTATACTGTAGTGGGTTTCCTACTCTTCAATGCCCGACCTGCACTCTCCTTTCCTCATCCCCTAGGCCTGACCACGCCGCTCTTCCCACACCCCTCCCTCCTTTCTTCTTCTATCTCTGGCCCAGCTCTGCTCCCACCCTTTCTTCCCCATGGCTTCTTATTTTTCAGCTCCGACGGTCATATCCCCCTTCGTTTCCGTTTCTACGGAACTGGTCTCTTTCCCTGGTCTCTTTCATACTCCTTTGCCGCTCTCACCCGCCCAAGTGGACAGTTAGACCCGCAGGATTCAAGCGAGACGTACCAGCGCAGCAGAGGCCCCGCCCACCTTGAAAACGCCCCAATTCTCCCGCCCTCTGAAGGCGGAGTCAGAAAACTATTGGTCTCTGTGGTGCACCTCCTAGGACTGACAGCTCTACCTACCCAATCCAGGCGTGTCCAGCCAACTCCCGTCCGTCTCCTGGAAGGACCCCAGGTGAATGGCTGTCTTGTGCCTGATGCGATCTCGTCCTCGTTCTGTCACCAGCGCTTTGAGTCCCAGCGTTTTAGTCTGTTCATCAGGCGGTGGTTTTAAGGTTCTGTTGTTCCTTGGCGAGATCTGTTTCCAGATTTGCTTTAAATGGAAGACTGAGAACTAGGAAGCCGGTCCTTCCGCTCCACAAATTTCCTGCTTGTTCACACGTGTTGGCCAAACTTTTAAAGAAGTCCAACGAGCTGATTCGCAGCCGTGGACTAAGTTCCAAGATACTAATAATAGCTAACACTATTATATATGAGAATTCTTATAGTCTCTATAAGAATTAGCTGTTTTCTCTTTTGGATAGGTGTATTTTATCCCCATTTTACAGATAAGGAAACTAACTTACAGAGAGGTTAAGTATCTTGTAACGATCAGCTATTAAAACAGCTATTACCTGGCTGATGTGGCTCAGTGGATTAAGTGCCAGCCTGAAAACCCGGTGTGGTGGGTTGGACTCCCAGTCTAGAGAACAGGCCTGGGTTGCAGGCCAGGTACCCAGTAGGGGGCGCGTGAGAGGCAATCACACACTCATGATTCCCTCTTTCTTCCTTCTGCTCTCATAAATTTTTTTTTAAAAAAATTAAGAACTAGATTTTTTAAAAAGCTATTAAGTGGCAGTTAGGATTAGAACCCAAGTGTTGGGATATATTCCAACCCCACTATAACCACTGCCTCCAGGAGTCTAGGATAAATTCACAATTCGAGAAGCAGATTAAACTCTTCCGCTGAGTCGAGTATTAGACATGGAGGAGGAAAGGTACGGATGGGGAAGAAGACTAAGATTCTTTGCTTTGGCGCTGTGTTCTTCGAGTTTGGTGAATTCAAAGATGAGGTGAGCTCATGAAGTGAATACACAGTATGTGCATATCCTTTTAAAATCATTCTTTAAAGCTGTTTTTAAAATATGAATGGAAAAACTATTAAATGATCTCTTACTAAAATGGGGGAAACATGGCTCTTTAATACTAAAACATAGTAAAGACCTTTAAGGAGCAGAACAACCTTGAAGCTTGTAAGTAGAACATATTTTGTTTCTGTATTATTTAAAGAGATGTGTAGCAGGTAGGCAAATGTGTAGCAGCTAGGCAAACGCACCTTTCAAATCATTCAGTAATCACATAAATCTCAGCTCAAAATTTCCAGAAACAGAGCTTTTCTATACAAGTACTACATGCTACCTCACATTATATAATTTATAGAATGACTACCCAAAACAAAAATGCTAACAATTTATTTGACATGGTAATATTTATTATTTCAAATCTAAGTTCAGATAAGGCCTATGGGCAATTTCCAGTATTGTTCAGGGGGATGGTTATTAGGATACAATGAACTAGACCAAACATTTTCTATTAAAGATTTTTGGTGAGCTGGTTGTAGAGCAGGAACTGAAATAGCTTTGATAACAAAGAGATAATCTGAATAAGGAATGGTTAGGAAGTGAACCCATCTTTCTTACACACAGTGGTCACTTGAACACTGAACTTACCCAGTGAGGCACTGGAATATTATAGTACCATTTAGAGAAGGGCTAAAATGAAAAGGCAAAGGAATACATAATGGTTCAGATTAATGCAGAGCAACAAGACTATCAATATGTTATGTTAAGTAGATGGAGGTGAAGCCTTCAGCAATGACTAAATGAATAAAAAGTGTATTTCTCCTTTCATACCTCAAATTATACCAATAAGAAACTCCATAAGAATTTGAACAGAAAGTCAAATTTTTCCTTTCTTCTCCTGTGCTTCATATTTAACTCTCCCCAGCCTTTGTTGCAATTTAGCTCATCTTTGCCAAGTGATTTTCTTTTGGTGGGTCTCAATCCTAAAAGTTGAGTTAGGTATCCAAAGGTCTCTTTGCTTTTGAGGGAGAGAGCATAGAGACCCAGGTTTAATGTCTGTATTAATTGATTGGGTAAAAATAGTCTTTCCTTCAGATTCCGGATGCTAATGGCCTATATTATGGTGCCTTAGGCAAACAGTTAATTCTGGCTCTGAAAGAAGTGAATATAAAACACTCTTGCGTTTTGTGCATCTGGGCATAGTATATATACATCAGTGGTATGACTACAACTTACTGTGTACAAAAATTAGTTATTTTTATATTATTCTTTTACTACCTTTGGCTCTAATGACTACACAGACCCACAATAGAAACAAAGTTTATTTTTTGTTGTTATTTTGTTTTGTTTTTTAAAGGTCAGGTCAAGATTATTCAACTCAGAATTCTAACAGTGGATCAAAAGGACCAGTTTGGAGAGAACTGGATTGCCTTCCCTGATGTTACCTGCAAATTCACCAGGATAGCATCCTGTAATTCCCCATATATGGAATCAGGATTGTGAACGTAATATGTCTATAGTGGCTGTCATTTATTTGCTGTTGACTCTGAAATCTAGATTTCCAGTTCTGACTTTCTGTTCTAAACTCTAAACTCCAGCTGCCTTCTTCATCTCTACCTGGATGATCTGGGTGTCCTGCAGGTATCTCCAACCCAGCACGTCCAAAACTGAATTAACTTAACTCCTCCCTTATGCCAACCCTGAAAATGTTGCTCCATATTTCACCAGATGAACAGTGAGTGCCATCATAGACTCAAGCTAGAATTAGAGAACACTTCAGATCCCTTTCTCCCTTTACTCTCCCTTCTCACTCATCTATTTAGTGGTCAGTTGTACTGATTCTACTTGGGTCAGTGTATTGGGGATCTCCAACCTCATAAACAGTTACTGCTGGTTGTCTTAGGTCAGATTCCCTGGAAGCAGAGTCTAAAGAGGATTTGGGGTGCACATGATCTATCAAGGGAATGAGTTTCAAGAGAAACCTTTAAGGGAGAGAGAGAAGCAGACTAGGGAAAGGAAACGAGCCTACCTAACAAGGATGTGGTCTTAGGTAAAGTCTAATATGGCCTGATCCACAGGTAAAGAACCTGAAACGTTAACCACATGGCAGAATTATCACCCGTTGAAGCAAGGGGGGCAGTCTTTTGTAGTAACCCCTCCAAACACGTATTGACTAAGGGCAGTCATAACTTCCTGGGCTACGTGGCTACTGTCAATGGTGGGTGATTCTCTGAAGTAAAGGGTAGCTGTGAGCCATTCGAAGCATCCACAGTCACTGCTAGGGATAGGGGGTCCAGCCTGGTGAAAGATCTGGACAGGGCACCACAGTGTCTACCACACCAGCCCTCATCATCTCTCACTTGAACTGCTGCAGCAGGCTTTTTGTTGGAATCCCTGCCTCTAGACTCAACCCCCTCTAATTCATCAGACACCGTGCAAACAAGATGATCTTTCCAGAAAGAAACTCTGATAATGCATCTCTCAAAGTTATAGAGAAAAAAGCTAAACTCCTTAACATTATACATCAACCCTTTATGAGAAGACCTTATATCACCTCCCCAGCTTTATTTCCTATCACTCTCCTCACCCATCTACGCTTCATGGCTGTCTCCCACTCACACATATATGTGCATGACTTACACAAGTGCACACATTCCCCTTAGCTCTAGTAATATCAAACTCACACTTCATGCTCTCATGTTGCCATGCTTTTACACTGCTGTTCTACCTGCCCACAAATATCTTTCTCGCTCTCTGCTCCCACTTATCTAAGAAATTCCTGTTTCTTTGTCAATAGAAAGTATAACGTCACTTATAAAACTTTCCCCAATTTCTTTAGCCTCACCCAGTGCTTTTGTAGTACCAAATTACAACACATGTCACACTGAATTGTGAGTGTATACTTAAGCACACATATCTCTAGTTAAACAGTAAGCTCCTCATTTTATCTCCTGGGCCTGGCTTGGAGTCAGTGCTCAACAAATGTCTCAACAAATGTCGGTTGGTGATCTTCCAGCTTTATCACCTCTTGAATAAAGTCCCATTAGTTTACTGCTCACTGTCTTGTGTGATCTTTTAATTTTTTTTATATTTTATTTTTAGAGAGAGGGGAAGAGAAGGAGAAAGAGTGGAAGAGAAACATCAATGTGTGGTTGCCTCTCATGTGTCCTCCACTGGGGACCTGGCCTGCAACCCAGGCATGTGTTCTGACTGGGAATCGAACCAGCGACCCTTTGCTTCACAGGCCCACATTCAATCCACTGAGCCACACCAGCCAGGGCTGATCTTTTCTTATGTGCGCCAAAACTCTCTTCCTAAAGCTCCATGACATATCCCTTCTTTTAATACTGTAGAGTTTGGTAAGCAAATCCATGTTCACTCATGATTTTATTAACTTCAGTGTTATTCCTTCTGAGTTTTGTGCAGTTGTAATTAATATAATAATTTATACTTGAGCTGAATAAGCTTTAAAGCTGAGTAAGATTTCTATAGCTGAGGAATGAAAAAGTGTCCTTTCAGACTTAGGAAATAGCATGGACAAGGGTGGAAGAATGAAAGCACTAGTGAGTCAGAGCACTAACTAGCCATCGCAGGAAGACAGAGGGATGTGGTGGGAGAAGAGACCGGAAACCGGTGTGTGGTGCCCTGAATGCCTCACTCATTGAGCACTTACCTATAGAGTCAGAGAGTGTATAAGCCATGGCTCTACCATGTCCTAGCTGGGTGATCTTAGGTTAGCATCCTAACCTCGCTGAGCATCACTTGCCTCATTTATAGAATGAGAATGCTATGAAAACTTTAAAAAAATACTTATTAAAATATGTTCACTCAATGCTAGTGGAGAGGTGGCTGGCAGAAGGGAAAGGAAAGAAGACTAGGTCAAAGGAAGGGGAAGACTCACCTCCCAGCTCTTGGTGGTCTAGCATGGCAGATGGGAGAAGTCAAGATGGAACTGACCACCTGGTCAGACTGGAAAATCCAAAAATAACTCAGAAGCTGCAGTAGACTAAGACTTGGCTATTGCCCAATCAAATTAACCTCCCAGGAGAATTTTCCCATGTAAGCTGAAAAACAGAAAAGAAGTTGGCCATTCAGGGTGGGAATGGGTTGAGGGAGACCACCCAGTGGTTTGGACTCCATACTTGGTGCAGAGTTGCTTGCCTGAGAGTTGACAGCATGTGGACGTAACAGAGAAGCAGCAGCAACTGCAAGAGCATTCACCACCATGGTGAGAACAACATGTTTGGTCTTAGTGGGTGGAAAGACTGGAGAAGAGAAATTCCCAGACAACTGCATGGCTCAGTGCCCACCAACAACTGAGGAGACCCTGGAGCAACCCAGCAACAACTGAGAAACAGGAGGCTCCTCCAAACCAGGCTGTTGAGGGATAATACTTATGTTCAATCTTTGTGTTGCCAGGTAGAGAGTCTTCAGCTAGAAGAGGTTCCCTCCCTCACTCCTCCTTGGGCACTGTATTTGGCATGTGCTGAGGGAGACTCATGTGAGTGGTGAGTCTGGGAGAAAGACAGGGTGTATAGGGCTCAGCCTCTAACTTCCCTCTCTTTGCAACCAGGCCTGATTTCAGGTTGCAAATACTTTAGTGTGTATAGTAAAGACACTGTCTTTAGGGCGAGGCCTGAAGTTGTTCTTGGCTATTCGTTCTGGGTGGGAAAGTACTGCCCTTTCTTCAACCTAAGTTTTCATCATTAAAAAGGAGAAGAAGGGGAAGGAATGAAGGAATGAAGGAAGGAAGGAAGGGAGGGAGGGAGGGACGGAGGGAGGGAGGGAGGGAGGAAGAAGTTGATATTAATTGAAGAAAAAAGTTGAAAATATTTTTTAAATTAATTTTTAAAATATTTCTTTGAAATTGATAATTTACTAACTTTATTTTATTTATTCAAAACAAATTTAAATCTATCTTCAAACCTTCAGAAATATTGCAGATACAGTACAAAGAACATTTACGTTTCCCTCACCCAGATTCCTAATGAAGATTTTATCACATTTTAAGAATATTTGTCTAACCAACCTCTTTGTCTTCCAGTTGATCCTTAACTTGTGCAGGGAAGAAGGGTGGGGTTTTTTTATTGACAACCCCCCTCCACTGCTTGCAAAACTTTGACAATGGAATTTAATATCCCAGGAAGGAAAGATTCATTTGTTTTATATTTGGCTATTTTTTAGAGAGACCTGTTGCATTTTCACAAGCTGAAATTCAAACTGTCTAAAATTCTTCATTCTGCTGCTAACTGCTATTCACTCTCTCACCTCAAAAAGCACTATCTATCCTCATCAAACTATAATACTAACCAAATTGTGTCCTGATGACCTGGGGTGCCCCTCAAGGAAATATTTCAAACTAAGCAAATTACTGGAATTACTTTTGTGTGGTATTACATTCTCTTGAGGGATTTTTGTTTGAACCCAGATCATGTCAAAGAGTTTGGTGGGCTACCTCCCAAGGAAAGCATGAAGGAAGTGGGAATTTAAAGATCAGCCCATAGCCCTGGCTGGTGAAGCTTGGTGGATTGAGTGCGGCCTGCAAACCAAAGGGTCGCCAGTCTGAGTCCCAGTCAGGGCACATGCCTGGGTTGCGGCTCGTTGCAGGACCTTGCTGGACGTTGCAGGATGTTGCGAGACATTGCGCCAGGTTCCCAGTCAGCAGGGCACACACGAGAGGCAACCACACACTGATGATTCTCTCCCTGTCTTTCTCCTTCCCATCCCCTCTGTGTAAATATAAATAAATAAATAAATTTTTAAAATCAGCCCATAGTCCTGCCTCTTCAGGCAAAAAAAAAAAAAAAAGTGTTTACTTCAATGGAAGCCACATTCCTAGAAGGGACATTCCTGACAGACAGGATTGGGTTGGTCAAAATGCCGAACTGGAGCTCGAAAACCAGGGATGTCAGGGGAGAGCAGTAGGAGGTGGGTATAGGCAAACAGCAGCTGGTCTAGACTAAATCTGGAGGTGAGGCTGGGTGCAGCTGGAGGTGATGAGTCCTGAGATCACCAGCTAGGACTGTGAGGAGGAAACCTAAGCTGCAGCCAGGAACTTTGTGCATGGCTGAGATGCTCTGGGGAAGGACCCCTGGGCCTCTATACTCAGGGCATTCACCTCTCTGCTTAATGCTTGTCATACTAGCAAACTTCAGTCCTTGCAAACTAGTAGTGGGGTGCAGTGTCAGAGGTCCACAAAGGCCAGAAGATACTCCTGGTGGTGGGCCTCTCAGCCAGCCCCTCAACCCAGTTCACCTGCTTTCTGCAAGAATAGCACTGTCCTTGCCCCTCTCCAAGTTAGGGAGTGGAGGTGGGGTCAGCCAGGGAGTTTTGCCACTTGCTTTCTAGGTAAGTTGTTCCCCCTCAACTCAGCCCTCAGTGGCTCTTTTCAATTCAAACCCATCACTATGGCTAGAAGAAACTTCTCCAGGTTTTCAGAA